ATAATAGGTTATTATTTGCACTCACACTTTGCCACATTCAGCAGCTGTCCCATTCTATATGTGTTGTTTTGGAAAGATGCAGCGTAGTGAAAGGATAAAATGCTTTATGTTTGCCTCTGCAGAATGTCAGGAGCGGGGCGGAGAAAGACGCCTCAAGACATGGCAAAAACACAAACAACAAAAAACAACCCAGCAGCCCGCCCAGCATGTTGTCAAGGTGACCTGGCAGCTCTTCTACCCTCTGCCGATGGGGGACAGATGTTATTTATAAGACATGTCCAAGAAGAATAACTTACCATATTACCTTTTTTCTTGTTTTAAAGGACATAAAAATCATAAATTAATTGCTAATGTTTTTTAGGATAAAAAAAAACAAAAAACATCACATTTAACTTCCATTCTTTACATGACTCAGACCAACATTTAAAATGACTTTTTAGGAGTCTGGCTCATTTTCTCGTTGACAAGATGTTACATGTTGATTTAACCTAAATGCAGAACACACCAAGGAGTCAGGAGAAAAGTTGAAAGGATTATTTACAAAATATGTTAAAAAAGTGAAAAAACCCAACAACAGTCCATTGGACTTTGTTCTCAAAGCCTGAAGACATTTCGCTTCCCATCCAGGAAGCTTTTTCAATTCAAAATGTCAGGATTAGTGTTAAATTCCAGCCAGAGGATGTTCTGAACTTTATATTGAAGACACCAAACAACCTCTCCACAGACGCATAGCTCAACACAGATGGGCTACATCGACTACAAGACTCAGCTGTCCATCTATACCTTAAGGACAAAAGACAGGCGTTTGAGGACCAGAATGTTCACATTTTGGACAAAGAATACAGGTGGTTTGAAAGGGGTGTGAATGAAGCCATTTATGTTAGGAGAGAAAAACCAACCTTATACGGAGGGGCTGGACTCAAGTTTCAGCTCTCAAAAACCTACAATGCATCAATAGAGTCGATTCCTCTCCACTATCATCTCATCCCTCATTGCTATGCAGATGCCAAAACATCTCGCCTGGTCAGCCAGACCAACAATGCCCCTTACGCCTCCCATTTCAGAGGGATAGGTCAGTATTGGGTATTATAGACCAACAAAGACATCAACGACTCCCCATTACTCAGGGCTGGACCTTATCTTTTGGTTCAATTTGAATTTTCTCTAAGCCATAACAAGGCTTTGCTGGGCTACTCTATAAAGCTTGGAACTAAAACGCTAATTCTGACATTTTGAATTGAAAAAGCTTCGTGGATGGGAAGCGAAACATCTTCAAACTTGGAAAACAAAATCTAGTCGATTGTTTATTAACTTTGTTGGAATGACTATGACCAGGATGACCGAGAATCTTCACCAGCATATTTTACAAAAAATGAACAATAATCAGGACCTCCAGGAAACAGGGGCTTGGACTGAAGGACAACACATGATACTGTTTTAGGCTGTGGTTGAATGTCTACTAAAGTAAAGTGGGAGGGGGGTCTGATAAGGGCCAGGGTTCTGCAGTGAACAGTCCAAAATTTTGAGATGATCAGAGGTGCTAGAATCCAGACACAGCCAGCCAAGACTTGGAACCAGAGTTGCGGGTGAGCCCTGAGGCTTGGACTGACCTGAAAAGAGTTTCAAGAAGTTGATAACCTGGAGACAAGAGAACATGGTCAAAGGCACACTAGGAAAAACACACAGGAGAAAGAGATTAAGCTCAACCTCTGGCACAGAGGTGCTGGCATGGAGCGCTTCTTAAGCTTCTGTGTTGATGGTCTGATAAAGAACACCTGTGGCTACCTGCTGGCAGCGCCTGCTGGTGGAAAGGTGGTACTGCAGAACCAGGCTGGAGATAAATCTTTAGACTCCCACACTCCTTTAAGAAGATTGTAATAGAAAATTTATTCATTCGCACTCCTAAAAAACTTGCATATAATCAAACTATATGTCACAATTTCAGTGTTCATTTAACGTTTGTTAGTTTGTGACCCAGCTCGGCTCTATCTGTGTGGATTAGTTTTCCTCCTTCAGCTGCTCTCCCATCACTACGCATCAGCTGCTCCTCATGTTTTGTTATCTTTAGTTGTTCTCTGCTGCATTCTCCCATCAAACCGCATGTTACTAATTCTCCCTGTTTCTCTACCATCTCCTCTTTACCTGATTCTCCCTGTGCAAGACCTCCTTGTATTATTATTATTTTCTTTTTTTAAATTATTGTAATTAAAGAACTAAATTTCTAACCCAATACAATCTCTACAAGTCTGAGGTTTATCAGGCCAAAAATGAAAAGATACTTTATTTGGCGATGAAAGGCTTATTGAAACCTCAGATCTAAACAGGATGAGGTGGCTACACAGTTGTTTATAAATGGACTAAAATACTTTATGCTCAGGAGCAAATTACCAACAAATATTTGCTCTGCTTTTGGGTCCATCTTCAGCCAAACGTCTAATAAAAACAGAATTTATTTGATAAAGGACAAAAGAGTAGATCACAACTTCATTGCTATCCTCCGTAACTCGGTGAGCCACGAGTCATGACCTTCAGTGTGCAATAGAAGAATTTGGCTCCAACTGTGAATTTCTCAGGATTATCATCAACTCCTGTATGTTTGAGCCCAAAATGTGGATCGTTCTCTCCAGGTCACCCGATGCTATAAGTGGAGGAGCTGGAGTATGAATGTAAGGTTTGCTAATCTTGTTCTAAAGTCTAAAGTTTGTTCTGTCTATTATTCTACCTATTACCATAAACAAATCAGAGATAATTCTTGTTTTATTATTGTTACAAGCAAAGCAATGCAAATATGTAAAAAAAAAAAAAAATTATAAACTGAAAGTTGAAAAAAATGGAATCAAGAAGATAAACTTCTAATTTACAAAAAGCTTCAGTTTTCTCAGATAATGTTATTTCATTTTTCATTTTAAATTATATATTTTTCATTTTAATTATATATTTATTTTGTATTTTAACATAGAAATTCTCTACAATTTTTTTTTTATAGATTTTTTGAAAAATAGAATAAATAAAAAACATTTAAATATGACATAACAATATATGAAAAATAGCAAAGTTACTCTGAAAACCTTTTTTTTCAGTTAAAACTCTTTAATTTTGGATTCAATATTTTCAAATCTCTATTAATGAAATTTCCTATTTTAACATTCCCATTGTATAAAATGGGTTTTTAATTAGTAATTAAAAATTCACTCTAAATATCTGTAAATTACACATCTTGTTTCAGAAACAATCATTCAATAAAATAGTTTTTCCATAACCTTTTGCAAAAGAAAATAAAGCAACCTGCGGGTTCTGAAGGGCCACACAGAGGTAAGGACCCAGGAAGCTGCTTTACAAGGAGACGCTGTAGGTAGAAGCAACAGTTCTGTGATGGTACCATCCTTCTCTCTGTTCTAATTATGTGGAGTCAGAACAGAAGCAAGAGGCTGTGATGGCTCTGCATCATTACCTTTAATCAACCATAGATACCCCGACACACAAACAGCAGCCTGACACTGCACAAATAGCTGACATTCATCATCATCCAGCCAGGCATTTTAATTACTGCAATGAATCCCCTGCATGGCTAAAGTCACCTGCTAAACAAACAGGTTTTACTCGTTTATACTCCGGAAAGTTGCATTGGTAGTCTGACTTTAAAGTTTCTTACATTTTCTTGCAAATATTTCACCACCCATGGAAATTCAATCTTTTATCAATTTTATAACTGCAGATTTATGTGGAGTTTAGCGAGAATTAATGTCATACCAGTTCAAGGAGGTAAATATTGTGGTAGAAAAAATAGATAAAGGTAATCTTCCAAATTTTTCACAAACAAAATGCCTGCTCTGCAGCCTTCAGCATCATGAAGCGTTTTTCTTTAATTAAGGTTGCAAGTCCTTTGGGGTAAGAGAACAACCTTGCTCATCTAAAGACTAAAATATTTTCCAGTTGTTTACCTGTTACAATAGCTGCAATTTACCTTGACAGCAAACTGCATTCAGGGTTTTTTATGTGGCTTTCTCTCTATTTCTGCCATCTGAACATGGTATTTCTACATTAAAGAGGCATTCAAATCTAACCTCAAGTGCATAAAACACACAATAAACCACAGTTTACCCATATGCACGAATTTTCATGACAGATAAAAGATGACTATTTCTGGTTATTGATTACTTTGAACCCTTCTGTCATGCAAAACATCAGCAAGTTATATTATTATTTCAGGTCTTGATTGCTGGTTAAGCTCCTGGAACAGCAACGTTTAGAGAAATCAAACACACTCTCACTAATTTCTCATCTTTTAGTATAAAGACAGCATTTGCATATTTAATTTGTTTATTTATAAACCTCAATTTTAATTGGATAAACAATTATTTCAGAAGGGAGAGATGATTAAACAGTGATGATTCATGCGTTTGCTTTGTAATTATATATTATGAGACATTATGAAAAGGCTTTTGGTAAGGAAGATTTATGAGTTACAGCGACTCCTGCAGGTCAGTATTTTTATTGCAGTTAAATGGTAGAAGATGGACGTTTTAATTTAATAAATCACAAAACGAATAAAATCCATTCTTGTAATTACTAGTGTTTTATCTCATACTTTAATCATAATAACAACAAAAAGAACAATAATAATAATAATATTTTATATAGTTTTTATATTTTATATTAGTAATGTTTATTTTTGACAGGAACAGACCAATATTTGTGTATTTATCATTTTTAATCTAACTTAATACTTCTGTTGTTTATTTTTAATACTTGCCTTGATGTTATTCCTATAAAACTCGCATTTGTTAATTTCTAATTAAATATAGCTTGTCTGTGAGAACAGGTAATCGCCCAAAAAATCCATCTTAATTTAAAAATAAAAATAATAATAAATAAAAAAATAACAAAAAATACATCTTTCATGTAAAACCAACCATTCTAAATAGAAAACGCTAACTTGTTAACCGGTGCAACTCGTTTGACAGAAAGATTGTCCTTCTCCGCTTGCCGTACCTGAACCAGGAAGTCAGCGGCTTTCATTCATTCATGACGTTTTACTGCCTAAAACTAGCGTTAGATCCAAAATGCGTCGGAAACATGAACCTCAGCCAGCAGGCACAGATCCTCCAAACGCGGATAAAAAGGTAGTTCAGTGTTTGTCGATGATATAAACCTGTTGTTTGCTGAATGAAGCTGATAGTTCAGTTCATCTGAAGCTCTCAGGAACAAAAATGTTTATACAACTTTGTTTTAAACATTTATTTGCCACTGATCGTTTTATAAAGTGTTCCTCTTTTCCCTTTCAAAATACAAACTGCAGTGCTACTTAAAATGCGACAGTATATTTTTCATTTAGGAAACGTATATAGATAAATATATATTGTAGTTGGGTTGTTTTAAAGTTTTACAGAACTGTAAAGGCAGAGGACTGAAAAACATATTTTCGATAATCAGTAGAAAGACAGTTTTATTTGCTCAGCAGGAACATGATTGCTTTTCTGTCAAACAGCTGCAGGTTGCAGCATCTCTGTGATGAAGCTGCAGAGATGAAGCATCTCTGATCAGGAGGCTGAGGAGGAAAGGATCTGATGCAAAGAGATATTTTATTAGATTATGGTGACCTTTTTGATAAGAATGCTACTTCTTCATGTCTTCAAATGTTGGACTCTGTTTACCATGCTTATTCACAAACATGACACATCACTGCGATCTACAGGGGCGCCTGGGAAAAAAGTTAGGACGATTCTAAGGGCCCTTGATTGAGGTGGGGCCCAAAAGAGGAGGAAAAGATTTGTTCCTATAGATTTTCTAATATAAAAAAATCCAGCAGTAAAATAAATAATCTTGTGTTCTCTCTCATTTTTTTTAGCAGTAAACAGTGAAACAAAGCAGGAATATATTGACCATCAAAGTTTTTTTTTTTTTTTAAAGTTAATGTACATCTAACTTTGTCACATTCTGATCCTTTTCATTTGTAGAAATTTAACAATAAAAATTACATTGAAAATGTTAATTCTTCATTGCATCTTGATAGCAGTTTTAAAGCTTGCATACATGTTTTTTTTTTGAGGGGGGTGGTGATAGAGTCTTTTATGGGGCCTCAAAAGCCTGGCGGCGCCCCTGGTGACCTGCACTCTCAGGTGGGACGGCCTCCCCTCTCTACGAGAAGTGTCATTGGTACACTTTGATTTTCAAGGCCCTTCGTGGATTACTGCCCTCTTACATTTGTACCTCACTTACAGAGAAAAGCATGGCTTCTTCTGGCCTGAGAACCAACGATCAGCTGTTGCTCCTTTTGCCGCAAATTAGTGGGGAAGAAAGCCTTTAGCTATGCAGCTCCTTGTGCGTGGAATTTTTTAACAAGGAAACTTGAAGTTGACTGAGTTTTTATCTTTAAATGCTTTTGAATTAAAAGTGAAATAATTTGAAGCAGCCTCAATGAGCTGTAATTGTTTTACTTAATATGTTTTCCTATGTACCTGTCATTTAATTTAATGTATTTCTGTATATTATGTAACTTTGCTGCCTCTTGGCCAGGACTCCCTTGAAAAAATGTTTTTTAATCTCAATGGGATTTTTTCCTGGTTAAATAAAGGTTAAAAAATAATTCTTTAGGATGTGATTTTCAATGACAAATCTGCATGTTCTTATATTAAAGTAATTTTATTTATAATCTGGCTTAATACTTTACATGATTTTGTTTTAGTTGCTGGGAATAGATGCATAAATACACACCCATGTTTGTTCTGCTAAATGTAGTGAGGACCATCTGTTGACTCCCATTGACTTCAGTTGATTTTCAGTCATTTTCAACCCTTTCTTTGCCCTAAACCTAAAACTAACCCTAAACCTAACAGTTACTAGTGCATACCTCACCCTAACCCAATATACACCTTAGCCCTAAACCTAACTGCAAATGACGGTGTGAGGACCAGCAAAATGTCCTCACTTAACAACTGGCCCTCATTGCGATGTTGAAATTGGAAAATGGTCCTCACTCTGACTTCTATACCATACAAGTGCACCCACCCTCACACTCGCATGCAAGCATGTTTCTATATCCTTGTGGGGACTTTCAATTTAACCCAGTATCACAGCTTAACCATGAGCCTTAACCTAACCCTAACCATTACGGGTTGATACCTAATGCTAATCCTATCCTAAACTCTACCTAAAACAGCATTTGTTTCCATGGAGACCAGACATTGGTCCCCACTAGAACATTCAGTCCCCATGATTTGCTAAGTTTGATGGAAATCTTAGCACATTTTGGAAAACCTCCACATTTCTATTATCCAATTGAATCATGATTAACCAATAATAATAATGCTGTTTGCAAATTAATTAATTTCTAAAGCAACTTTTCACAGAAGTCCTCTAAATGTTTTTTTCTTAATGAGATAACGCAAAATTAGTCACTTTATTGCTTCTGACGTTTGGACTGAGCTTTAAAAGCACAATTTGGGCTAAACAGACAGCCTTCGCTGTAAAACATACAATTTTTCTACTTATAATGGGATTTGTTAAAACTTCATAGAAAAAAGGAAGTTAAAAATTCTTCTTCTTACAAGCTGAACGTAAACACCACTAACAATCCATCTAAGAACATTAATTAATGCTGAAACAATTAATCAGCTTAATCATGATTAATCAATTATTGAAATAATCTTCACCTCGTTTAGTAATCGATCAATCATTAACTGGAGTATAGAGACAGTAAAACATGCCTTTAGCTGACAGAGCGACCCACTTAGAGCTCTAATCTATCAAAATTGTAAAAAAATAAAAATAAAATACACATTTTGCATTTAAGAAGAAAATAAATTTTTTTTCTGTCAATATTCTCCATCCAGAACTTCCCAAGTGGAAACGTTTTAGTTTGTCCTGTTTTAATTTCGTAAAAAAAAATCTTCTTTAAGAAATCTTTCGCTATCTGATTATAAATCGATTAATCCAAACGATAAACAGATTAATCAATTTGCAAAATTATGGCTAGTTGCAGTTAGTTAAGAATAATTCTACTAAGACACAAATGTTGTATTCACAAGAAGCTTTACGTCATTTTTCCCAAATGAATGTGTGGTTTTTCTTTAATCTCCAGAGGAGCCGTATCATACATACAGACTCAACCCCCACTATTGATTGGTTCACTGTCAAGTTTCACCTCAAATACAAGTTTTTTTAAGCTATTACCATAAATTCAGTCACGATCCTCCATATCAAAAATAAAAAAAACAAAATTCTGTTCCATTGAAAAATTTTATCTTAGCATGGACATGTTTTTATTTTTTTAACATCATCACCTGTTTCTACTCTTAACTACCTGGAGTAGCAAGCAGCCCCACAGCATGATGCTACCTCCATCTTGCTGGACAGCTAGTGGTGTTCTCAAGCTTCTGGTTTATTATCCTTTTTTAAATTTTTAAAAACTTTTTTCAATGCTGCTAAAAAACGTAATTATTGTTTCAACATAATAAATCTTCACCCCAGAATGCCTTGGCTTGTTTATGTGGGGAGCTGGTAAGCTCTGTCCAGCTTCACGGTTTGATTTTTCACCTACCAACTAGTGTTGCACCGATGCCATTTTTTATGCCCCGATACCTGGCTGTGCAGTATTTACCGATACCATCTGTTTGAAATTGATGCGTGTGTATATATGAAGAACTGCATACTACTTGGATGTAAAATAATTGCCATCATGGCTTTGTCAAGCTGCTGCCTACCTTTGTGAAGCAGGGAAAAGACTAATACAAAGTGAATCCAGTAGAACTTTTTATTGCCGACCTGGAATGGGTGACAATAGTTGAATAAACTTTTGGTCTCAAAATGGTATCGGTGCCCTATTTGTAGGTACTCACTGATACCGATACCACCATTTTAGTGCTGGATCGGGGCCCCGCCCGATACTGGTATCTGTATCGGTGCAACACTACTAACGATATCATTCTTATTGTAAGGTTTATTTTTTTTAAGGCTTTATTCTTCTACAAATTATTGTGAAGAAAACCTTTTCTCTATTGTAGATTTGATTGTTCCAGTTACAGCCAACATAACAGTTAGGCCATAGCTTGGTCAAGTTAGAAACTGTTGAAGAACCTTTAGCAGAGCTTGTCTAACAGAAACTTCTGACTGTTATTTTTGTACATTTGAGCCATTAAACGTCTAATTTATGCAAAAATAGTCAGAATGCATGAAAAATGAAGACTTGTGCTTCCATTTAATACCGAGGAAAAACAATCACTGGAAAAAGAAAAGTAAAAAAATCCTCAGATTAATAGGAAGTTCATAACTCCTGATTTGAGTAAAGCTTTGAACTTCACAGCTAAAAAGCTGAGTGTTTTACTTTTTTTACCTTCTTTTCCCACCCTTCTTATGACCAGGAGCAGAGACGGGGAGGACAACCTGAATCTACGGTCCGGGTGTCTTACAGCTCCATTCTCATCAACTTTGGGAAATGTTTACTTCTGATCGTGATCGTTCCCCCGTTCCTCAACTACGCATCGCTGCAACGAGAAGGACAGGTGCTTCTGCCAAAAGGTATTCTCTCTTATTTCAGCAGAGAGCATGTTTGGATTTCTTTTGATAGTCTTTTAAAGTCTTCCCTTAGAGGTCTATAAAATTCTCAATTTGCCATCAGCTAAAATAAACTCTGCTTTGTTTGTTTTGTGTTTGACCTCCAGAGGGGCAGATGGTGGACGTTGGTTTGGGTCAGAAACTGCATCTCTTGTGCAAAGGACGAGGAAAACCAGCTGGTAATAAATGTTCTGCTCTTCACATACATGTTCTCTATGCTGAGCTCTAACTAGTCTGTTATTCATTTTCTCTTTTATAGTTATACTAGATGCACCAACAGGAATGTCCTCCGACGTCTGGTTCTACGTCCAGGAGAAAATTTCCTCTCTGACCAAGGTGATAAATCCTCATATTTATGGTGTATGAAATAAAAGAAGTGAATAAATAGTTTGAATGATGCGCTAAGTGCAGGAAACGGGTGATTTTCCTGCTCTTGTGTCCATGTTGTTGGTTACTGTCAGGGTCATGCAGACACGGCCCTTCCAGTCACCCTGTCAGTTCCTTTTTTGCTCAACAACGCTCGGCTCAGCAGCACTGAGCCTGACAGGCTGCCCCATGTTGTTTGTCTGAAGCTGTGACCCAAATTAGGTCACTGGCTTGTTAGGAAGAGTGTAGTTACACAGAAAACAACTAAAGTAGAACAGCAGTGACAGCACTGGCCACTGCCTCAACATCACTACGGGTTTGGTTGTTTTTTTTTGTTTTCTTTAAAGGATTCTTCTGGATTATTATTAAAAACAAGCCCTGCCTCAGAGCTGTCCCTGTTTGCCCCCTCCCCTTAGGTTTGTACATACGACAGGGTGGGACTGGGATTCAGCAAGCGAGTGATGCAGAACGAAACGACAGGAACAGAGAAAGTCTGGGGGGCGTCCACAACCGGCCGGTGAGTACGTTACGTCACTCGTCACTTCTCCAACCGTATTTTGGTTTGATGGTTTGAGTCAGATGGTTGAAACCTGGACAGGATTAGTCCTTTTAAATGTTCAATAAATGATTACTTTAATAAGAGGGAAAAAGTTCTCCAAAGCCACCTGCTCGAATGTAGCAAAGATAAAAGCCCCCAGTTTAACAACACATCACTGTGTTCTTTAGGAATTAGGAAAGATGTTTGAAGTGGTCGTTTTCCAGAAAGAGAAGCTAGTTTTTACCAAACAGTCTCATTTGTTTCATATAAAGTAAAGAAATAAGTCTGAGGATTACAGCAAAACGCAAGCAGTTTACTGTTTAGTGTAAGTACGACCAATAACCTTCTGACGAGCTTTCCTGCAAACAGAATGTTGAATTCATGGAAATGTTAACAAAGAATAAGTGAAACTGTAATTATCTCAGAACGTCGGACCCAGAATTCGAGGCGAGACAGGCAGTGGTAATGTTCAAAGCATTTATTTAAAACAAACAGGAGCACAGGGATGCTCATCAACTACGGGGCGAATCTCTGCAGAGACAGGAAATACAGGTCAGTGACTGGATGTGGGGCTGATCACGACTAGGAGCAAAAGTCACGGACCTGATTCAAAGTTCAGTCCGTTCTCTGAGAAAAGAGTTGAATCCAAAGGAGGTTAATCCCCGGCTTGTGGAGGGCGCCGCCCCCAGAGTTCCTAGAGAGAGCAGAGCAGGCGCCAGCCGACGCGGAGCAGCGACAGTGTCCTTGAGGGAAAATCCAAAGCCGGAGTCAGAAGACAGGTCCAGGTTCAGAAGCAGGAATCAGTCCAGAACAGATGCGACTAACAGAGCAATCAGGGGCGAAGCAAAACACAGGATCCACAGGGCAGAAACAGGTCACAATCAGGAAAAACAGAACGAAATCCAGAACGTTAGAGTTAGTCTCACCGAAACGCTCGAATAACCAGGCCCTGATGGAAGGCAAGCACACAACATAAATAGCAGAGGAACCGGATGGAAATGATCGCCGTTAATCAGCTGCAGAACCAATTAGACAGGGGAGCAAAGAAAAAAAACCAAACCATCAGCGCCAAGATCATGACAGAAACATCATCCAACTGATTTATTTTTTATCTATTTATTGAATTAATCTAATCTCCAAAGAATAACAAAACTCAACAATAAGGATCAAAAATAGATGGTTGATCTCATAATATTGAGATCAGGATCGTATCTCGTAATTCTGAGATCAGTATCTCTTTATTCTGAGAAAAGATCTCATAATTACAAGATACT